ACACACCCACACCCACACCCACACACCCACACCCACACCCCACACCCTCATTACTCATATATGACAAAAAATTCAACAACGAATTCCTATGTTGTTTATTAAAGTTCTAATAGAACAAAAACATTCATCATTAAGTAGAATTCATCATAGTGCAATTCATTTTTCTATGGTATGATATTTTTAATCATTATTTATTTTGTTTTTATTTTCATCTTTGAGATATTTAGATTTGAGCAATGAAAAGATTTGAAATTGAACGTGATCTTCTTATTCGATCATATGATACATTTGATCGTATTAAAATTCATTGTCTTTTTCAAATGAAAAATAAATAATGTTATTGTATTCATTTATCAAGAGAAATAAAAAAATTTATTAAATTTTATATTTATTTATTTTTCAGATAATTAATATTGCATCAGAATTGATTCATAATCGATATTTAGTTATTGATTTACTTAAATTAGTAAATACAATTGTTATTGAAGCAAATTACCATTTAAAACTAATAATAAGAATTCTGTTCTTTTTTTCCTCATCATCAAAGATTAAATTAATTATTCATTTTCGTAGAAATCATTAAATCGGTCATCTAGTTCACTTTCACCTTCACTATTTAATAGAACAAACAATCAATAATAACATCAATTAAAAGTAATATTAAACAATTAATTTCAGCAAAAAATTCATGAGATTTTTTTTTGTTTTAATTGTTTGGTAAGTTTATTACATAATAGACAGTGTTTGTTTTAGATTTTTATTAAAAATGGTGATACTGGTACCACGTGCCGATGTGAATGTTGATATGGGAGAGTCAGGAACCAGTACAACAACTATTGCAACGGATTATTTAGGGCCGTGTCTTTGTTTTCTGTTCGATATGAAGTTTCTTGGTCATAGTGTGTCTTTTATTAGTCATTATTCATTTTCAATTAATGACGAGAAATTATCACCATCAGAGTTACTAATTAAAATCCTTTAATATCTTGTTACTGAATTACACTATTCTTTTCCGATTCCTGCACTTATATCTGAAGAAGGTCAATCATACTTCTCAAACTTGGTTTTACTTATAGCCTGAGGTGATCCAAAAGAATGTAAAAATATGCACAATGCATTATGTATGTTAAACTCAAATGACAATAATTTTAGTATTGAAAACGAGTGTGAAGATAATGAAGTACGTTTTCTTTATTATAAATTAAAGAAAAGAATTATTATCATCAAATCAGTGTCAATGATGTTGAAAAATAAGGATGAATTTGCTGGTAAGTAAGAAACTATAAAACATGTGTTCGAATTTATTTAAATTTATTTTGGAGCAGCAGCGAAAAAAATATGGTAATGATTATTCATGTTTGTATATAAGATACTGTTGTGAAAGCAAAAATGTAACAATGGGATTGACTTGGACGAAAAATGAAAATCACGATATTGCCTTCTTTCAGATGAATTTATACTCAAATGATTTATCACGTTTTCAATGGGAACTTCAATACGACAAAACAAATGCTTTGAAGATTTCTTTTAATTGTAAAAAAAGTATTAAAAGACCGATTAAGACAAGTGTTAGCTCTTATTCCAACAACAGACCCATTTGTTACCTTGTAAGTATACTTTTCTAATTATAGAATAAATTTTCTAAGGATAGACATGTCGCACTCTAATTATATTTCTTTCTCTTATATTTCTGCTCTCTCCTAATCTTAATATAGTTTAAAATTTTTTATTTCTTTCATAGTCCACCTGATTCACGTGATTTATTATATTCATCAAATATTAAAATTGGTATTAATGGATTTAATCGTATTGGTCGGCTTGTATTGCGATGTGCACTTGAACAAGGTATTCAAGTAATAGCTGTTAATGGTTAGTATTAGATTTCTTTATTTATTTGTCTTATAATTATATCTTTCTAGATCCAGATCCATCGGTTTGTTTGCAACCTGCTGTACATATGGTTGATAAGTTGAAATTTGATTCAGCAAATGCATATTTCGAAGGTGAAGTTTTCCATAAAGATAAATTTATTGTTGCCGATCAAGTAATCAGCGCCCTCACTGTGTAAATATTTGAAATCAATTAATTTTAATATCTGATTAAATTCTATTTTTAGACAACGACAAACATGCGTTCCACCATGGGATGAACTCGGTATGTTTTGTCTCTTGACATTGACAAATCGATAATTGATTGATATGCTTGTTTTTCTTTAGGTGTTGAATATGTTGTTGAAACAATCTGTAAATATACAACAATTGATGAATATAAATCACATTTACAAGCTGGTGCTAGGAGAGTTATCATTACAGTACTATCAGCTGATGCTCCAGTGTTTGTTATGGGGGTCAATGAAGATAAATATACAGGAAGAGAAACAGTTCTTTCTAGTACATTCTATACAACAGCAAATTGTTTAGCACCACTTGTTAAAGTTGTTCATGAAAAATTTGGTATTGTTGAAGCTTTAATAACAGCTTTAAGTTCATCCATTCGTGTACAAGAAACTGTTGATGAACCATCAGATAAAGTATTGAATAAAACAAGAAAAAAAGACTCTTATTTATATTTTATTTCTGTAGAGTCGGCGATCACGTGAAGCTGAATAAAATATTCTTTTTGCAAATAATATTACTATTGATAAAGCTGTATGTTTATTTATTTTATTTTTTTAATAAAAAAGAAAGTTGATTTGTGTTTTATTAGATCGGAAAAATAATTCCTGACTTGAATGAAAAATTAACTGGCACGAGTTTCATTTTTTCAACATTAAATGTTTCACTTATTGATCTTACTGCTCGATTAAACAAAGGCGTAAGTCATATTTTTTTTAGATTTAGTTTATTAATTTTAATTTATTTATCTAGACTACATATGAAGAAATTTGTGCTGCAATTCGAGAAGCTGCTAATGGTCTATTAAAAAATATTTTGGCTTATAGTGATGATAATAGTGTTCCAACACATGATATCGTTGATAAATATTCATTAATCTTTTATGCTCAAGCTGGTATTTTGCTCAAAGACAATTTTGTCAAACTTGTCTTATGGTATGTTTTTTTTATTGAAAAATTCTTCTGTATGAAAAATAATTTTATTCATAGGTGTAACAATGAATATAGTGATGCATATCGTGTTATGGATCTGATCAAATATATTTTCAAAAAAGATTATGAAGATAAGCTTAAACAAACCTTGGAATGATCACGAACAGATATTGATTAATTTTATCTAATTTAACTCTTTTTTTTGTCATCCTTGAACTTAGCAAAAAAAACTTTTACTTCTAGTTTTTATTATTATTTTCATTCATCTGTGATAAGAAATAAAAAGAGCCATACTTTTTTTTGCTTTCAAATAAATTTCGATACACGTTTATTTTGCATAGTTAAATTAAGCAACAACATAATGATATCGAGCAACATATTTTGCATTATTTATGTTATACTAGTGTTAGAACAGTATAACTTATGAAGATTATATTAATGTGTACCTTATAATTGAATAAGTTGCAGAAAGTTCAAGATCATTTGATGATAACTATGTTAAGTTTAATTTTAATGATTTTTAAAATAACAAAGTACATTAATAAGATTTCTTTTTTTTT